TCAAGTGAATTCTTAGACCTTTAAGCCGGGCCCTTATGACCCTGGACCAATATGCACTGGGGTCGAAGCGCCTAACTTTGAGGTCTATGGAACAAATGGGCTTAGAAGTGAGGTGACGCAGATATCAACGCAACTAAAATATGTCGAAGATTTTTAATGCATTTAAACATAAAATGTTACAATTTTTTTGGCTTAATCGGATTTTCCACTGATATTTTTTCTTTAGACAAAAAAAAATTAAGTGTCATTGACGATCAATAGAAAAAAAGTTTATTAAAACCAATGTATTATTAAGACGTCGGCTGTGATTGTGGCTGTATACTGTGTGCGAAGATGAGTGAAAAACTGACACTGTTTGTTTTATTATGCAGGTGTGTCTGAAATATTAAATATATATATATATATATATATATATATATATATATATATATATATATATATGATCGGCGTCCTTTTAAAAGGACTCAGGGTGAAATAAATTATTATAATGGTACCTTAAAGTGGTCTGTTTTACTTTTAAATATATATATATATATATATATATATATATATATATATATATATATATATATATATATATATATATATATATATATATATATATATATATATATATATATATATATATGTATATATATATATGTATAAATTTATATGTATATATATATATATATATATATATATATATATATATATATATATATATATATATATATATATATATGTATATATATATATATATATATATATATATATATATATATATATATATATATATATATATATATATATATGCATGTATATATATATATATATATATATATATATATATATATATATATATATATATATAAGGTTAATGTCTGGGTTTAATTTTATAAAACCTCTCTCCTTTTAAAACAAATAACTTCCAACCTCCTCTGACGAATGATGTGTGTCTTTCGTCTGACTGAAACATTAAAATGGTTCAATTCTGTATTAGTTTTTTGTTAAAACTTTTTTTTGTAGCTTTCACAGTTAAACCTTACACGGACTCATTCTATACCGGGGTTGAATAAGTCTGACGAATTACATTGTCGACGGTTTAAATGAGCTATATGAAGTAATTTGGGATTTTATTGTGTATTAATAAATGCATTGATTTCTTTTTGTGAATAAGTTTTAATATCTTATATTACTAGTGTCCATTTGGATTATATACCAACGGATTTATTATTTTGTATATATATATATATATATATATATATATATATATATATATATATATATATATATATATATATTGATGTATCTTTCATTAAATAATATAGACAAGTTTTGTCTATTGTAAGTTCCTTTCATAGTATCTGATATAAGCGAGCGGAAGCGAAAATCGCGTCGCAGCTCGTGACGTCACACTGAGAGTGAAAACGTATCCACGAATCTGTCGTTGCTTTGAAATTTTTCCTGCAACAAAAACTGGCTATCATTATTGTTTCGTTTGTGTATTGTTTGACATATTGAAATGTAATTGTCATCTTTGAAAATGGCTTATGTAAGCCGAAAGCCTGGATTGGATTTAAACATGTATCAATATGGTGATTTCCTTTCGTCTTTCAACGATAATTATCGTATCAGACAATATGAAATGAACTTACTTAAAATAAATAGTCACAACTTGTCTATATTTTTTAATAAAACATACATCCATGAAAAATTCCTGCCTAAATACATACATATATATATATCCTGCCTAAATATATATATATATATATATATATATATATATATATATATATATATTTATATATATATATATATATATATATATATATATATATATATATATATTTATTTATTTTTCTGAGGGAAGGGAATATATAAATAAATAAATACTTTCATAAAATAAAACATTATTATTTTTTAATTTGAAACTTTTATATATATATATATATATATATATATAAATATATATATATATATATAAGCAAGTGTAAATGGATATAAATCCGACAGAATGAAGAAATTTTGAAAAAACAAACAAAAATCCTTAAATGTAGTTAAAATGAAAGAAATGTCGACGTCTGACGTTTCGGTTTAATAAACCTTTTTCAAGACAATATTCATCAAAATACAATTCAGTTCAATATGACAAATACGATGGACATAAAAACACAAGTCTTATTCAGAACAGATAACTGAAAATTTTTAAAATGATCAGGAATACGTTATGAAAGCGTCGCCCATGTGACGACGGCGTGACCATGTTAGACGGAAGGCTGATCATTTTAAAAATTTTCAGTTATCTGTTCTGAATAAGACTTGTGTTTTTATGTCCATCGTATTTTTCATATTGAACTGAATTGTATTTTGGCTTACTCAAGCCATTATCAAAGATGTAATTACAAACATATCAAACAATATACGGACACGACAGTGATGACAGTCTGTCATTGTTTTGTTTACATAGTGGATCACTAAGCAAAGTTACTAAATCACTAAGTTAAGCCGAAAGCTTAGATTTTATTAAAAAATAATGGATAAATATTGTCAAGTTCTTTTTTCGGTTAATGATAATGTTATCAAACTTATCAGAAGATACGAAAAAATTTTACATAAAATAAATAGACAACACTTGTCTATATTATTTAATGAAACGTGTATAAATGAAAATATGCTGCCTAAATACACAATATATATATATATATATATATATATATATACCAGGTGTAGCAGCAAAATTGTTCATTTTTTTTATTAAGATTTGAAATGTTGTATCACAGAAATGATTAATGATATCTTACTGGAATTCTTCAAGGTTTTTATAACACTATTGGACTCTACTTTCAACAATAAAGATATATTTAAATCTAAATTGAAATGATGATCCTTCTTGCTATTGCGAACTCCTGGTGTTTGATTGCCTTCCTTATTTCTTACATGTTAAAACAAATTGCAATACTTGATGACTTACTCTCGAAAGTATGACTGGGTTTTCCATGCAAATAGTCATAGCAGCTTGCATATCAATGTTCATGATAGTAAGCTTACTTTAGGGAATTCATGGATTGCGAAAGAATGTATGAGTTCTAGATCATATAGCTGACAAGACGTCCTTGACATTTCTTACGAAAGATGATGGTGTAGTATCATTTTTTCCGTTTTTCTGAGGGACTGGAATTGGGAAGGGAATTGTTCCATCATTTCCAATATTCATGACACTGAAATTGGAATATGAATTGAGTTTTAGTTATAGATTGATATTATTTTGTTATTGTTTGATATTTTTAATTAATATAAAATTTATCTGAGTAATTTTCTAAATCTAAACTGACTGATGCCCTGTCGGCTGGAGGTTCAAAATTCACCCACAGCACCTCTGCAGATGGTTAAACCCCCCACCCTAATGAGGCGTCCACATGATAATAAACTACATCCGCGTCCAGGGTATGACGATAAACTACACCCGGCAGCAATGTCTCTGATCCAGAGGTTTTGAAGAACGTGGATCCAACTCTTAATTGCTGGGTTTCCCACGTCCACCCTGCCCCGGGGTTGAAGCATTTGTTAATGTCCCAGCTATGGGTAAATAATAAACCCTAAACTGGGGTCAAAACACTATGAAAGGGTAGAAATACATTTGTATAGTTTTTACTATTTTCATAATAAAAATTTACCAGCAATGCTTTTGTTTTTTTTTTTTTTTTTTTTTTTTTTTTCAAAGAAAGTACCATCCGTATATTTTTATAAAATAAAATTAACAAGAATACATTTAAATTTCGGCAATAAAAGTTCCACCACACGTAATATGCCGTTGCACTAACAAAACAAGTGTTATAAACAAGCGTATGGTTGCAAGAAGGAAATACGACAAAAGCAGAAATAGATTCACGTGATTTATTTCAATAGGAACGTGTGGTTTTGGGACAGCTACCTTGTGGTAAAGTTCATAGACCGGCTGAAGATCTGGGTTGATCTCTCATAGTAGTTCTCGCTGGTTGGCGTGGCGTTACTGCTGCTGATCGCTCAGCCTGACCGTGACAGGTCTCTACACTGGCCTCCTGTTGACTGCTGTTGTACTTACGTGTGACCCCTTGTATGGCATTTTTTATGGCTTAACAGGCTCAAAAAAACGACGCGAGTATAATTAGGAGGGAAGCATTTTTATTGGTCGAAAAATAGAAACACTTTAAAATATTATTTTATTTTTCGACCGGAACTCATGCGTCGGGAACATGCGTAAACGAAGATAATGGTCATTTTGTGACGGGGCCTTGTCCCATTCACATCCGGCTCTCGCTCTTGGGTATGTTAGTTTATTTGCCTGTAAATCAGCCGAGATATGTCTTATTTTATTTTATAACACAAGAATACAGAATATAACGATAGATATTGCATTAAAATTTTGAAGATCAAAGAAAAGTGAAAAGTAAGACGCCGGAAATAAGTTCCACAAGCGAGAAGTGCGCCAGAAGAAATTATCAGCATAAAACTTACGGCTGCAACTAGCAACACCAAAAGCAAAATGATGAGACCTAGCTGCCAATCTAGTACTGCGCTCACATTCGAAAGGTCGAGATAACAAAGAGGAAGGAACATCAGAACAACCAGCACGAAAATATTAATGGAAAAGATGCAAGCAAGCTAAGCTAGGGTGGAGAAAAAAGAGTACTTGGCTCGAGATGCCAAGTTAGTAAGGTGCAGATTCTTCTTTGGCGAATATCGAGATGTATAACAAGAGCTCTAGACTTTTTTTTTATTCTTTTTTATATTGTCAGGGAATGTTTTAACATATCGTTTCAGATTTCATTATCAATTTCGATTATTTTTGCTTCATCGGAAGTGTAAGGAAAACATGAGACTTGGTAGATAGCCATATGGATTATGAGGGATTAAGAGGTAACTGTGATGTGAGAAACTGACTTGCGATTTACGGGAAATAGTTACGCAGAGTCCACTCGTAGCTGATCGATCTATGATGCCAGGCACATGTCTGTCGACAGTTGAATATCGAAACTTACACCGCTTTTACCATGTTGGCATGAACAGAAATTTCGCGTTTGGTCTTGCGCCAGGCAGAAACAAAACAGTAATTACCTAGATAGACTGAAAACTTAGAGTTAGAAGATAGGATAATAGTATAAATATATATGAAAAGAATGAATATAAACAGCCTGAGATAGATAGATAGATAGATAGATAGATAGATAGATAGATAGATAGATAGATAGATAGATAGATAGATAGATATTGAACAGCCTAAGATAGATAGATAGATAGATAGATAAATAGATAGATAATGAACAGCCTAAGATAGATAGATAGATAGATAGATAGATAGATAGATAGATAGATAGATAGATATTGATAAATAAAGATAGATAGATAGATAGATAGATAGATAGATAGATAGATAAATAGATAGATAATGAACAGCCTAAGATAGATAGATAGATAGATAGATAGATAGATAGATAGATAGATAGATATTGAACAGCCTAAGATAGATAAATGGATAGATAATGAACAGCCTAAGATAGATAGATAGATAATGAACAGCCTAAGATAGATAGATAATAAACAGCCTAAGATAGATAGATAGATAGATAGATAGATAGATAGATAATGAACAGCCTAAGATAGATAGATAGATATTGAACAGCCTAAGATAGATAGATAATGAACAGCCTAAGATAGATAGATAGATAGATAGATAGATAGATAAATAAATAAATAAATAAATAAATAAATAAATAAAAAGATAGATAGATAGATATTGAACAGCCTAAGATAGATAAATAGATAGATAATGAACAGCCTAAGATAGATAGATAGATAGATAGATAAATAAATAAATAAATAAAAAGATAGATAGATAGATAATGAACAGCCGAAGATAGATAGATAGATAAATAAATAAATAAATAAATAAAAAGATAGATAGATAGATAGATAGATAGATAGATAATGAACAGCCTAAGATAGATAGATAGATAGATAGATAGATAATGAACAGCCTAAGATAGATAGACAATCGACAGGCTGATACAGATAGATAATGAAAAGCCTATGAAGCCTATAAAAGTAATGTTTTGGGGTACTCAAATAGGAAAAAAAAAGTTGCAGATTGGGTATTTAAAGACAATGTTTATAATAACTATGGCGTAATGGTTAGCGGCGCGGACTAAGAAAACAGAGAGCTGATTTCGAATCTCTGTCGAATCTATTACACTCACGTACGCGCTAATAACGTTGGTAAAAATATGGATCTTCTTTTCCCGCACCGAGCCTACATATATGTATGTGTGTGTATATATATATATATATATATATATATATATATATATATATATATATATATATATATATATATATATATATATATATAATTAAGGATGCATTTTAAGCTGCCCATTTTTATTACTTCAAACGTTTTTTATAGTGATAAAACTATTTGTAATATATGAAGTAATTTTTAAATTAAATAAAAATAAAGCGCCTGTTTTGAATATGAGTATCCACTAAAAATAATATTTGAAGTTATATACATATTTCTGTTATATATATATATATATATATATATATATATATATATATATATATATAGTTCAAGAAATCCCTTCCGTTGATATAGGAATACGCAGAGATCAATAGATTCTTTACTTGAACTGTTTATATAAAATAGTTCAATCGACTTTTTTAATATTTTAATATTTGGAAATCATCTTCGAATACGTTTTCACAACATCGCCCACGTGACGACGACGTTATCATATTTAAACGGAACGCTGATCTTATATAAAAATTTCAGTTATCTGTTTGGATTAGTTGTGCTATTATGTCCATCGTATTTTCGTGTTGAATTTTTATATGTTCTAATGTTAATTATGTTTAAATGAAAATGTCCTGAAGATGGTCTAAAATAGACCGAAACGGCCGACGTTGACTTTATATTAACATTAATACAGCATAATTGCATATTAAGATTTTTGTTTGTTTTTTATGCATATATTTTTTCTTCATATATATATATATATATATGATTGCGCCCATATATATATATATATATATATATATATATATATATATATATATATATATATATATATATATATATATAGGCATAATCAGTAAATCGTCTTCCTACTGTCGGATCTATATCCATATATTTGCTTACACACATATACATATATATATATATATATATATGCATGTTTCATTAAAAACGACAGACAAGGTACTACAGTTGAGCTTTTTATTTAATTTTTCTTGTGTTCTGACAAGAGCTTTCTTTTCTGGACAAAGAGTGTGTAAGAACTGTCCGAATTTTCTGTGTTTCCGAGCGCTTTCGGCTATACCTTTAACCATTATCAAGGATGGTTCAATTATCAGCTTAGTAGAGTGTGTTCTATGTATGTTCAGTGTGTGGTAGTGATGTTTTAGTTTCCGAATACGGTTAGCACATTGTGGCTTTGTTCATAGTTGATATTGTTAAGAGTTGGCTTTTTCTTTTTTATTATTAGAGCTTCCATTATTTTTAGTCTTTTTTTGCAAGTGATAATTGAACCATCCTCGATAATGGCTAAAGGTATAGCCGAAAGCGCTCGGAAACAGAGAACATTCGGACAGTTCTTACACACTCTTTGTCCAGAAAAGAAAGCTCTTGTCAGAACACAAGAAAAATTAAATAAAAAGCTCAACTGTAGTACCTTGTCTGTCGTTTTTAATGAAACATGCATAAAGGAAGGATTGCTGCCTAAATATTTAAATATATATATATATATATATATATATATATATATATATAGATAGATAGATAGATAGATAGATAGATAGATATACATTATTAATTAATTAAAACCCCATAGGTAATAATTTTTATTTCATAAGGGTTCTAAAAAATCAACTCTCAATCTTCAAGTTTTAAAATTGAGAGCTGATTAAAAAAGAGCTCTCATGAAATAAAAATTATTATCTTTGAGATTTGAAGTGTCGACAATGATAAGGTTATAATAGATATTTTAGTGTCTGCAGTGGAGTGAGGATTAATTGAATTATGCTTCCAAATTCTTATATGTGCACAGGATGCTCAACATTTGGGCCTTGGGCCAGACTGCGTCCAGAACTCCGCATTTTTACATTAGATTTTGCTGACGTCACAAGGCTTTTTTTTTCCCCGCCTGATAAGATGGAATGCAAATACATGATGATAAAATGCGAAATAGAAACACATAATATAACAGATGCATTATGGGTGTTCATTGGAAAGAATTTAGAATCGATGTGGATGATTGCCTTGCCTAAGGAAAGATACGAAGCTCAGTGGAAATGATACGGTGTAAATGTATTCGAGGCAGATGTCAGATCATATCTGAAAAATCAACATGTGGCAGGCTTTTATCTCATTAATAGGTATTTCGTCTTGCCTGAAATATATATATATATATATATATATATATATATATATATGTATATATATATATATATATATATATATATATATATATGTCTGTGTACGTGTGCATGAGCCGCGGCTTCTATGAGTGCTGCCAATGAGGTGTGGAATAAGATTGGATGTCTCCTTAAGTAAATTTTGTGAAGGATATCATTTACTGTCGTAATTAGTGAAGATGTCTTTCTTGCATGTTTTGCTTTTTACTAGTTATTTAGAAAATGCATACTTGTGGCAGGAATGAAATATATATATATATATATATATATATATATATATATATATATATATATATATATATATATGAGAGAGAGAGAGAGAAAGAGAGAAAATAAGATAAATAGATGGATATATCTACTTGGATAAATAAATATATATATATATATATATATATATATATATATATATATATATATATATATATATATATATACACTACAGTTCAAAAGTTTGAATGTCACCTCCAGAATTAGTATAGGATGAACTTCACAGAAGAGTGAAACATTTTCATCGCCCAAAAATGAAAAAAGAGATCTTAGAGTCATTGATAAAAAAACTGGAATCAATTATCAAACTGACACGAATGCTAAAAATTTGTGCTGTAGTAATCAAGGCTAAGAGAGGATATTTTGACGAGAGCAAAATTTAATCATAATTTTTTTGCTGTTATTATAACAAAATTTCTATTAAAAACAGCATGTCACACTTTTTAACTAAGTATAACACTTTTCCCTTATAAATATATTATACGGGCAATTACAAAAATTGCCAAAGGTAGCAATAAACCTTTGAAATGTAATATATATATATATATATATATATATATATATATATATATATATATATATATGCTATGTTGTAGAACCCTAGAAAGATAACACGGACTCGGATATAAGGTTAAATAGTATATTCTCGGAAACGTAGTACAAAGGTAAATGTGGACTGGAGAGTAATTTCTCTCACTGGTGTCTTGACTTAATCATTCACTCACTCACTCACTCACTCACTCACTCACTCACTCACTCACTCACTATCTCGGTGTCTCTACTCGGTGACTTCCTCTACTGGTAGCCATATTATAAAGGTGTGGAAGAGTCAATTTGTAGGTAGGTCCCCTCAATAATATATCAGACGAGTCGAGTTCACGCGATCTTCAGATATTAGAACGTTCATGTCGTCTCAACCTCGGGTTTAAAATTATTAAGCGCATTTTGCTCGGTCTAGCCAATTTAGACTTCGACCAATTTACTGGATAGGTAAATGGCCTTTAGGCCTTTTTTCTTTTCAGTATGGTCATTTTTATTCGAGACTTTACTTGGATAAAAGTTTTAGGTTTTGGCAAATTGGTCGGTTGGTTCCACTAACCCATTTTGGTTTTCTTTAATATCTATCTATCTATCTATCTATCTATCTATCTATATCTCTCTCTCTCTCTCTCTCTCTCTCTCTCCCTCTCTCTCTCTCTCTCCTCTCTCTCTCTCTCTCTCTCTCTATATATATATATATATATATATATATATATATAATTAAAGAAGATATATATATACATATTTATAACTAAAGAATATATATATATAATTAAAGAATATATATATATTCATTATTAAAAGAATATATATATATATATATATATATATATATATGAAAATGTTAACCTGTAGAAATCCGATAAAACCTATAATAATTTCAGATTTAATTTTAGAAGAGTGCTTTAGTAGAAATATTTGTTGACATGGAAAACAAATACACACACACACACACATATATATATATATATATATTTATATATATACTCACATATTATATATATATATATATATATATATATATATATATATATATATATATATATATATATATATATATATATATGCATTCGTCTTTATGAGGAGAATCCATCGTTAGATCTCATGCTAAGTGTGCCCTAAGTTTATTCTTTAATAAGTTTTTTCTTGAATATTCAAGCCGGTAGCTGAGAATAAAGAATTATACCTTATTAAAATATAGCGTAATGAAATCGGCTAATTCTTTTTGAATACCATATATATATATATATATATATATATATATATATATATATATATCAGAGATTTGAAATTGATCTCGTCTCCCAGGGAAAAGCTGGCATTCAATGCCTTTCAAAATAGTTTCATCCCATCATCGTCGATCAGATCCTGAGCTACCATCATCCTCCTTGGATGTACCTCATGGATTTGAGCGCCTCTTGGGAAATAAACATAACCAACATCATTACTGGAACCCTAATATACGATCCATCGCTAAAGATCAAGTTAAAGTGGTCGGTTCTCTGGACCAGCGCAGTAACTCCTTCTGTTATCTTCTACATTTACAAGAGCCTGATTAGGCTTAAAATGAAGAACTCCTCCTTATATTTGGTCAGGAGCTGCCTAGGTTGAAATGTACAGTACCCAGACGAAAAACATTCGTTCGTTTCACCAGTTCCAAGTGTCATGACCAGGATACGTGCAGCGAACTAACGTCCTTCCCTACATAGACCATTACTTAGGAAGTAAGTTTCACACGAGCAGCTTCTTCCCTCTAAGGACTGACCTGTGGAACCGACTCCCAAGTGGATGCTTTCTCGATTAAGATAAATTTATTTACACAGTAATGGATTTTCTAAATTTTCATAGTGGAAGAATAAATGGATTAAAATAAAAATAAAGTTAAAAGAATAAATTTTTAAAAAAGTACACAGATAGGATTAGGCTTACGAGATTTGAGCATATAGATAGATAGATAGATAGATAGATAGATAGATATGGAAAGAATGAGATAGGTATAGATAGATAGATAGATAGATAGATAGATAGATAGATAGATAGATAGATAGATACAAAAAGAATGAGAGATGTGTGGACAGAATTAGATCGATAGATATGGACATAATTAGATAGATAGATAGATAGATAGATAGATATGGAAAGAATGAGATAGGTATGGACAGAATTAGATAGGTATGTTCAAAATTAGATAGATAGATGCATAGATAGATAAGAACAGTCTGAAATAGATAGATAGATAGATAGATAGATAGATAGATAGATAGATAGATAGATAGATAGATAGATAGATAGATAGATATGGAAAGAATGAGATAGGTATGGACAGAATTAGATAGGTATGTTCAAAATTAGATAGATAGATACACAGATAGATAAGAATAGTCTGAAATAGATAGATAGATAGATAGATAGATAGATAGATAGATAGATAGATAGATATGGAAAGAATGAGATAGGTCTGGACAGAATTAGATAGTAGGTATGGTCAAAATTAGATAGATAGACAGATAAGAACAGTCTGAAATAGATAGATAGATAGATAGATAGATAGATAGATAGATAGATAGATAGATGCAGTCAAGAACGTGAGAGAAATTAGGGGTTGTGAGAGAGATATAACGAGAAAAATAAATACGGATAAATTGCAAAAGGTAGACAACAAATTGAGCCATAGAGGCGGCCAACCATGTGGACAGTAAAGCGATGTCGACAACAGCGCAGATTCTTCCCGCGGAACTATTGCTGGCTAAATCTAATAAATACCATGTTACGCACTATTTGCTTCTTCATAAAACCCTTCAATACATTCGCTCTTGTTCTGTTTACTTGAGATTCACACCAGTCAATATTTAACTACAGCATCATACAAACAGCCCAATATGTGCATCTTCAAATATTATCAGTAAAGGCCAAGTGACGGTGCGTCGATGTTATCTATGTAAGCCTGCTCATATCTATCTATCTAGCTATCTCTCTCTCTCTCTCTCTCTCTCTCTCTCTCTGTATATATATATATATATATATATATATATATATATATATATTATAATTTTTTCATATCGTATATATATATATATATATATATATATATATATATTTATGTATATTATAATTTTTCATATAGACAAAAAACAATTTACTCACGACAAATATACAGGTATTAAATTGAGAATTGTTCATCTCCTAGACCAGTTGCCATCCAAGGCTAAAGAAATCAGTCTGTCCTTCTATTTGCCCATAGATGGAGGGATGATAAGAGGGTTCATGCCTTTTCCAAGGGTATTAGCATGTAAGTGAATGTAATGGATTCGACTGGAATTCGAACTCGGCTCTCCGACTCCTCAATCCGAGCCGCTATCCATTACTCCTCCGGGAAAATCTAGAAGAGGATTCATACCTTTCCCAAGGGTATTAGCACGTAAGTGAATGTAATGGATTCGACTGGAAATCGAACTCGGCTCTCCGATTCCTCAATCCGAGCCGCTATCCATTACTCCTCCGGAAAAATCTAGAAGAGGATTCATACCTTTCCCACGGGTATTAGCACGTAAGTGAATTTAATGGATTTGGCTGGAATTCGAACTCGGCTCTCCGATTCCTCAATCCGAGACGCTATCCATTACTCCTCCGGGAAAATCTAGAAGAGGATTCATACCTTTCCCACGGGTATTAGCACGTAAGTGAATTTAATGGATTTGGCTGGAATTCGAACTCGGCTCTCGATTCCTCAATCCGAGCCGCTATCCATTACTCCCCAGGAAAATCTGAAGAGGATTCATACCTTTCCCACGGGTATTAGCACGTAAGTGAATTTAATGGATTTGGCTGGAATTCGAACTCGGCTCTCCGATTCCTCAATCCGAGACGCTATCCATTACTCCTCCGGGGAAAATCTAGAAGAGGATTCATACCTTTCCCACGGGTATTAGCACGTAAAGTGAATTTAATGGATTTGGCTGGAATTCGAACTCGGCTCTCCGATTCCTCAATCGAGCCGCTATCCATTCTCCCCAGGAAAATCTAGAAGAGGATTCATACCTTTCCACGGGTATTAGCACGTAAGTGAATTTAATGGATTTGGCTGGAATTCGAACTCGGCTCTCCGATTCCTCAATCCGAGACGCTATCCATTACTCCTCCGGGGAAAATCTAGAAGAGGATTCATACCTTTCCCACGGGTATTAGCACGTAAGTGAATTTAATGGATTTGGCTGGAATTCGAACTCGGCTCTCGATTCCTCAATCCGAGACGCTATCCATTACTCCTCCGGGAAAATCTAGAAGAGGATTCATACCTTTCCCACGGGTATTAGCACGTAAGTGAATTTAATGGATTTGGCTGGAATTCGAACTCGGCTCTCCGATTCCTCAATCCGAGACGCTATCCATTACTCCTCCGGGAAAATCTAGAAGAGGATTCATACCTTTCCCACGGGTATTAGCACGTAAGTGAATTTAATGGATTTGGCTGGAATTCGAACTCGGCTCTCCGATTCCTCAATCGAGACGCTATCCATTACTCCTCCGGGAAAATCTAGAAGAGGATTCATACCTTTCCCACGGGTATTAGCACGTAAGTGAATTTAATGGATTTGGCTGGAATTCGAACTCGGCTCTCCGATTCCTCAATCCGAGCCGCTATCCATTACTCCCCCGGGAAAATCTAGAAGAGGATTCATACCTTTCCCAAGGTTATTAGCACGTAAGTGAATGTAATGGATTCGACTGGAATTCGAACTCGGCTCTCCGATTCCTCAATCCAAGCCGCTATCCATTACTCCTCCGGGAAAATCTAGAAGAGGATTCATACCTTTCCCAAGGGTATTAGCACGTAAGTGAATGTAGTGGATTCGACTGGTATTCGAACTCGGCTCTCCGATTCCACGATGCTATTCACTACTCCACCGTGACCCTGTCTCACGCTCCATATATATATATATATATATATATATATATATATATATATATGTGTGTGTGTGTGTGTGTGTGTATGTGTGTGTGGAAATATTTTAAGGTGTGCTCTATTTATGTGTAAAAATTCTCATCATCAGAGATAGAGTGTATACAGAGATAACATTAGAAAATCGACACAAAGAACAATACCCTGGCACTGTCATTTTGTTTCATGCCTGAAGAAAATCTACAGATCTTCATCAAGCCTAGATATGTGAGCGTGTGTCTGCATATGTCTCTGCGTGTGTTTATATGCATTTATATATAGATAGGATATATTTAAGAAATCTTCATCGTTTTGATTTTAAATGAATCCTCTTCAAATAACCAAAAGCCAACAGACTCTTTAACCTAATCCGTAAAGGCTTCGACCCGGTAAGACGAGTGCCCGAGTTTATGAAAAAATAAAGTGAAATTAATAAAAGTTGTTATATAAGGAAATATATAAAATCTAATTTTTTTAAGCAAGGGAGCTAATTCACCAATATCAAATTGCATCAAATAAAATAGAGAAACAAGATAACAATACTTGAAAACCAATGATGCAACATTCGAAGATAGAAAGGAAGACAATAATATAAAATAACATAAAATATCAATTTTGGAACATTTACCGATAACACAGAAACAACTAATTCCTAAATTTGAAAAGTTAAATAAAAAATAAAATTGATAGACAGAACGTGCCTATATTTAAGCAAACATGTTTTAGAGATAATAATTGCTTGAAATACACGCTATTTAATATATATATATATATATATATATATATATATATATATATATATATATATATGTACCATTATATTTGAGCATCTGCCTGCGAATTTGTGTAGGTGTATTATAAAGCATGGAAAGGTCAAGAAAAAAATTCATCAAACCTGCTTCATGCTCATATTTATCAAATAGTATAATTTCTTTTTTATATCTTTAGATATAAGTTTAACAGCGAGACACACACTCTAACTCATTTTTATGTGTGTACACAAATGCATGCATATATATATATATATATATATATATATATATATATATATATATATATATATTATGTTAAAATTGATATTTGGAATAATATTGTGAATTTCCATTTCTGAACAGGCTTTTTCCATTATGGCGATTTGATTGGTCTTTTATGATATTTGAAAAATAACATTAATCAATTCGCGGGGTTTATCACGTTTCTATCTCTTCACAAATGGTAATTTGATATTCTTTTATTTTGTCTCACACCAGGTGAAATCACATCTTCTCGCTAAACTTTCGAATTATCGTTCCATATCTACATTAATGAAGAAATGTATTGTTGTTTTGTTGTACCTCTGTTATTGTTAAATAATAAGCATAGTTCATGTCTGCCACAAGGCCTCCAGTATAGAGTTATTCTTTGAAAATCATAGTTGAAACGAATGATACACCAGTCCAGACCGCGATGGCACAGCTCCGGTCTCTTTGTTCACCTTAGAGAAAATAATGGTTAAACTATATACTTCACATTCTATTTATAATCCCACGTCTTTCAGGTCATGGCTCTCTATATTTTCCTTATGTTTATTTTATATGAAAGATAGCGGAATTGTTAACTTGTTTGGAATTAACAGGTGTCTTTTGAAAAGATTTAAATAAACTGCTTGAAATTTTTATAAGCAACTTTTTAGTTCCTATGTCTTTAATGTTGTATCTTGGAAGGAAAGAGGCGGTCATGGCTCTCAACTGTTTATATATATATATGTTATTTTAAAAATCTTATGTCTCTTCAAGACGGAGGTGATCATGGCTCTCCGCCGATTTTTTTTACCATGTATTCTTGATAAATATATTTCCTAGTTTTCACGGTGTTTGTATCGATGTACTGGTGGTTTAAGGAATAATTCTTCTGCTGATTAACTTACATTTTATCTTCTTGTCTTAATAATTAGTCCTTTCATTTTTCCTTCTTTTTTCTTTCGTGCAAGTGTTCTTCACTTACGTTTTTTTTTGTAATCTTTGATGAAGAACAACATTCAAATCTGGCTTTTAATCATGTTCCACTATAATCATGCTTCAAACCACATTTTTTAATAAATTATTTATTACTAGCAGTAGAGGTCGGCGTTGCCCGGGGATGTAACAGTAAGAGATAGATCAAGTATCGACCATCATAAAGACTGAAAAATAAAATTGACAAAGATTATTGTTTAAGGTTGACGGACACGCATGTCTTAATTAGTTTTATTTTGTTTTGTTTTTTTTTACGAATTGGTCAAACCCAAACTCAAACAAAAACATTGTTTTCAATCGTTATGAGTCTACCGATTGAATAGAATTTTATTATAAACAATTGTCTTGTAAATGGAATTTTTAAAGCATTCTGAATATAAAAATAAAGAAAAAAGTGTGCAAGACAATAAGAAACACTACCTACCAAAAAAAGTGAAGGTTTGTTGAAATCGGTTGAAAAATGTAGGAAATCCGATCCCATATAAAAACGAACACAGACACACACACACACAAACAAGCTGGTTTTATAATAAGTATAACTCGATATGAGTTGTCCCCCTTTCATTCTCGCGACAGCGATGCCTCTTAATCGTGTTTTCAAATTGATTTCGTGCAGAAAATATTGTGTTTTTCCAATTTTTGACTCTGCCATAACCACCGCAATGTAATTTTATGTAGTCCTATGAGGTTTTGTTGAAATCGGTTGAAAAATGTAGGAAATCCGATCCAATATATAAACGAACAGACACACACACACACACACACACACACACACACACACACACACACAACCTGGGTTTTATAATAAGTATGATTTCAAGTCTGACCACATGCTAAGATATAAAACATTTTACCTCTTTTCAATCCATCTGTAGTTCTGGATATAACGATAAAGTAAATCTAGCATCAAAGTTTCTTATAAGGAGATTGGAGATTTTGAGGATCGCAGAATTTCTGTAGTTCCCATGTTTACCCTAACCCGGCTGGTAGCAGATGTTACGGACCCAGCTATGGACAAATTTTAAATCTCCAAACAACAAAACAGTATGAGTGAATAAAAAATATATTTTTTTATATAAAAAAATTACCAACAGTGCCTATTAATAGTATTATTACCAACAATATATTTTATAGCAAAATGGCTAACAATGTATTTTACAGTAGTATTACGAACAATACATTTTATAGAAAAATGACTAACAATGTATATTATTTGAAGGCATTCAAATGCTTTCAAATTATTTACATTTCGGCATTAAATAACCCATAGTGGTTGATAAGCCGCTAAACAAAACCAACCAACCAAAGTTGAAGGCATACAAATTGCGTTCAAAATATATTTAATTGAAGCCATAATATTGTGTTCAAAATATTTAGATTTCGGCATTAAATGAACCATAGAGGTTGATATATCGCTAAACAAAATCAACCAATCAATCTATCTGAATTGTCAGCCAATGGTGTCATATAGACAAAAAATTCATATTAGCAAAGGAGTCTACAAAACCAATAGAAAAATTCTTGTATTATTCAAATGATATAAAATATTGTCGTATTGCAGAAAAAAATTAACGTTACCGGCAATCTCCGTTACGATATACAAGGTGGTCCGAAGGTCTTGTCTCCACAATATATTATAATTTTCTATTTCCGATGGCTGACACAAAAATACTGTTCATAAAGACCTTCTCGATATGTGACAGCGTCAATGAAAGTGAATGAACTGATTCCAGTACATGTGCTTCGTGTTACTGTGGACTTGCTATACTACTGGTCTCATTACTTATTAGTAAAGGGTGATAAGATTTTCGGACCACCTTATACACTGAATCAAAACCTGAACTGAATATATAATTAATCATTGGAATGAAACTTCTAATAAATTTGTTGCATAAACATATATTTTAAATTGTAAGTGATACACACCAAGTCCTAAAAATTAGTCACAACATACAAACCTTTACTAAACTCATAATTACAAGATTAAAAGATTATGAAATAAATTATGACCGATATGGATTTTTAAGGTGTTTTCTTAATTTATCATTATATATATATATATATATATATATATATATATATATATATAATGATAGATTAAGAAAACACTTTAAAATATATATATATATATTATATGGTTTTTCCATATAGACAAATCGATTTACCCCTACAAGAATGCAACCTTGTTTCAGTGCATTTATTTGCACCTCGACTGGTGATAACCAAATATGTTTTATCTGTAATGCTTGTTCTTCTATAACTATTTCTGGTTCTCACCAGTTGAGGTGCAACTAAATGCACCGAAACAAGGTTGCATCTTCTGATGAATAAATTATTTTTGTCTATATGAAAAAATATAATAAATAATTATTGCTCTAATTTCGGTATTGAGCCCTCTTATGAATTAATGCTATGCATGTTAGAATTTATATATTATTTTTGATCTAATTACATTCGGGTATATATATATATATATATATATATATATATATATAGTAAATTATTAGGAGGAGTTGATATTTATATTTAATTAATTTCATCGAGTCTGATAGAAACATCAACAGAATGCAGAAAGCACTGGACGGCCGTTTCGTCCTATATTTGGGACTCATCAGCAGTGCGCATCCACTACCAAGAATTGAAACACTGACAGTTAGTTTATCAAGTAAACATCATACCACAAACGCCCTACATACAATTAAAACATTAAAAACTGAAAAGATTAATGGTATGAGGGAAGACCAAAATCAAAACAACGAGAATTTGCGCAGCGAAAAAAACAAGGTGGGGAAAAGTATGATTCACAGACACTAATAATGTGAAGTCCAAGGTGACGGCTCCCTGGACTGGACGTACAGAGACTCCTGTGCCCGCAAATGAAAAGGAGAGTGCAAACTAGACAGGACAGAACCAGTCCGGACTGAAATTCATTGCACAATACCTGCAATTTATAAGATGTTCAGTGATAGCTGAACCGGAAGTATTGACCAGCTGGATCTTACGGGCATCCAGATTAAGAACACTTGATGGGACATGTTGCCTAATCCTACAATCAAGCGTTAACATATATATATACATATATATATATATACTTAACAGCATGGCTGGCGTTGCCGTGCTTGATTTAAAATCGTACTACTCATACAGCAATCTTTATCACTTGACTTAAAATATTTTTGCCATTCCTTGCCTTTAAAGGAGTGCCCTTTGCCGTGCTGATGTTGCTACATGCCTTACTTGTTTCCTATCTCACACTGCGAATATTTTCTAAGCTCTATACTAAACATTTAATCTATTACGAAAAAAGAACTAAACAAATTGAACACAAAACGATCAGCTTTAAAAAAGGACTCGTAACTAGAAAAACCGAATGAAAAAAGAATGTTAACAACAAATACTTTTTCACATCCAAGCCAGTTCTGCGGAATCAGAATCAACGTTGAGTTTAAGAAAGCGAATGAGTCAATTGGAGTAAAGTTCCATGCAGATTTAAATTTTTCCCACTCATGACGAATGCAGCTATCAAATTTTTTTTTTTTTTTTTGCATGCTAGCATACTAGTCAATATTCGTGTCAGTCAGCTGTTAGCTCTCACGCGGGCCAATAGAATCTTCCTGCCTATTCGTGGCAGCCAGCTATTGGCTCTCAATCAGGCCAGTACAAAATGGCTGCAAACTAAATGTAAACTGCCGTCGAAGCATGAAAAAACAGATTATTTCCACTATCGATGGGAGTTGGGAAATGCAAAGTCGGTCTTGGACTTCCCGCTAACTTGGATCATGTGCCTGTAAATTTTGGTGCAAATCCGTCGAAAATTGCAGCCGTGCATTCGTTACACGAACACACACATCCTGCCTTTTATATATATATATATATATATATATATATATATATATATGCGTATTGTTTGTTTGTGTGTGTTACATTTATATAATAAGTACATATATATAATATATTAAAAATATAATTCATGGAAGAAAGTCGTCATTTTGCGTTGGAAGATGGGAAAAAGCTTCATGCATCTTTCATCTCAAATCATATATTTAATCAGGTTAAATAATGTCGAGAATAGAATCCTATTCTCTGAGACAATTAGTAGATCAGTCGTCTGTGAGTTTCTGCCGGCTCTGAGGCCAAAAGAATTCTCAGTTTTCATTTATATCCGTCTACGATTCATAAAAGGAAAGATTAATGTTGAAATAACCTCATCTATCAAGATATGCCAAACTTTTCATATCTATCTATCTATCTATTTATTTATATATCTCAGTCTGTTCATATCTATCTTAGTCTGTTCATATCCATATCTATCTATTTCAGTGTATTCATATCTATCTATATCTATTTTTGTCTATTCATATCTATCTATCTATCTATCTATCTATCTATCTATCTATCTATCTATCTATGTCTGTTATATCTAAGTCTGTTCATATCCATATCTGTCTATTTCAGTCTGTTCATATCTTTCTATATCTATCTTTGTCTATTCGTATCTATCTATCAGTTATACCGTTATATTATTGTTAATAGAATCTCCCACAGATAAAAAGTAGTAGTAGCAATCGCAAGAGAGCTCAGAGTGAGTTGGTGTGTCAGGCGATGTCGGACCTTAAAGTATTAACAAACACAACGAGATTGCTGCGTCATTACCTCTTATTTCAAGTTCCTAACGTGTTGTACGTCGAACCTATTTTAGGACCGACTGTGAAATACAAGCCTCCACTGTGAAAACTACTCTACAACACAATCTATCTATCTATCTATCTATCTATCTATCTATCTATCTATCTATGCCTGTTCAAATCTATCTATATATATATCTGTTCATATCTATCTATCTTTCTCAGTCTATTCATATCTATCTATCTATCTATCTATCTATCTATCTATCCGTGTCTGTTCAATTTTATCTATACATCTGTCTGTTCATATCTATCATTCTTTCTCAGTCTGTTCATATCTATCTATCTATCTATCTATCTATCTCGCTCTGTTCAAATCTATCTATATATCTGTCTATTCATAACTATCTTTCTTTCTCAGTCTATTCATATCTATCTATCTATCTATCTATCTATCTATCTATCTATCCCTGTCTGTTCAATTCTATCTATATATCTGTCTGTTCATATCTATCTATCTTTCTCAGTCTATTCATATCTATCTATCTATCTATCTATCTATCTATCTATCTATCTATCTTGGTCTGTTCAAATCTATCTATATATCTCTCTGTTCATATTTATCTATTGTTCTCAGTCTATTCATATCTATCTATCTATCATTCGATCTATCTCAGTTTGTTCATATCTATCTATATCCAGCTTTGTTAATATCTATCTATCTATCTATCTATCTATCTATCTATCTATCTATCTATCTATCTATCTATCCCTGTCTGTTCATTATCTATCTATCTATCTATCTATCTATCTATCTATCTATCTATCTATCTATCTCTATTCATATTTATATCCTATCTATATCAGTCTGTTCATATCTATCTATCTATCTATCTATCTATCTATCTATCATAGAAATATCTCCTTCCACTCGTATCAACTTAGCCCCCCCCCCTGCCAATCTGCTTTATTCTCTTCAAATCTCTCTGTTTCCCTCCGATTCTGTCTATCCATTTCAACCAACGTTGTATTCTACGCGCATGATATAATGATTCCGTTTAATTCAAACTTGAGATTCTCATAATATTTTAAACCTGGAGTTCATAATCCGTAAAAGATTAATTCATTCTTTTCTTCTCTTCGAAGCGTTTTCCCTCTGTTTTTAAATAAGTATTTTTAATCTCAAAGAATCATGACCTATCTTCGAGCAATAATTCACAAGACAGCAGCTGAGAGATCCATGAATGCATTCAATTTTTATGGTGTTATTTTATGGTTATGTATTGAAAAAAAAAACGAAAGTGCCTTCCAACAGATCCTGTCCAAATGCAACAGGATTTCGCTTCAACCAAATAAAACAGATTTTTTTCTATATTTCATTGTCTAATCTCAGAGTCAGGATATGATTAGATGTTGGAAAGAAAATCATATCGCGATTTAAGATGGAAACGAAACAAATTCTTCTTTGATCTTAAATATTATATTTAAATCCATTTTATGATTCTGTCTCTTTATTGATATCACAATCCCATCAGATTCGGCCAATTGTTAATGTCAAGGGCGTGGAATTCTTCAGCTTACGATTTAAAAAGATACGCTGTATCAGTTTCACCATCTTCGCAAACAAACGTAAAAATTAATGGCTATTTTTTCCGTAAGTATCAAAAAATGTGTCCTCAAAATGATGCCGCCAACACACAAACATAGAATATTCATTTAATTCTTTCATGAAGAAGCCTATCGTCCAGGGCGAAACGCATATTCTATAAAAGTTTTCTACTGTGGCTGTTGGGGGTAAATGTAAGGATGAAAATCTAGTATAGGAGGCAACAATCTTTCCCGAAGAAAATATAAACCAGAAAAAAAGATATATAGGTATATCCGCCGGTGATTGGAAGCAGCTTCTATACAACCATAAACGCTCATCTAGATATAGATAAAACTTCCTTATCCAAACACTACTGGGATCTGGTAGATAAGGGACTAACCCCACTTTTGAAATGGAGATACTTATCAAGAGGTAGAACACCTAATAACTTCCGCTATCGGTGTGATTTTTGCATGGCGGAAAAAAAAAATTATTATCAAAGATAACAATGAAGATGAATTGCTGAATCTTCGTAATGAGATATTTTCTAAATGCAGACATAAGAAACGATTCAAAACATAAACACCGTTTTGTAACACGTTGTCAATTATATCAGTTCAATCTTGGTTCAATAACATCGGGCATGACATTTTAATGGAATGACTATTATGTTTATCTATATATTTATATCATTGTGTATGTTTATGCGATGCGCTATGTATTTTTTTTTGAGACCAAATATTTTTAAATTTTTCTTTTTTAGATTTTACATTTTGATTTACATGTATATGTATATGTGTGTACCTGTGTGTGTATATGTGTATATATGTATGTGTATATAGGTATATGTATGTGTATGTATGTATATATGTATATGTATGCATATATATGTATATGTATATATATATATGTATGCGTATATGGATGTATGTATATGTAGGTAGATGTATATGTAGATGTGTTTATATGTTTGTGCATGTTTTAGTATGTATGTACTCATATATATCTGTATATGGGTGTATATGTATGTATATATGTATGTATGTATGTATAGTTAGACGGATAGATATAGGGATACATTGTTTATTTGTTTAGATGGGTGTATGTAATTGTATGAAGATGTAAGGTTTTATGTATATATGTTTGTGCACGTATGTGTATGTCCGTAATTATATAGTGTGTAAATGTGTATATATATATATATATATATATATGTAGGAGTGGATGTGTATGGATGTATGAGCATATGTATGTATGTGTGTGTATTTATGTATGCATATGTATACATGTATGTGTATATGTGTGTATGAATGTGTATGTGTATGTATGTATATGAGAATATATATATGTGTGTATGTGTATGTGTTTACATGGGTATATATATGTGTGTGTATGTGGGTACACGCCTATATGTATGTATGTACGTGTATATGTTATTGGGTATGTGTGTATACGCATGTGTTTTTGAACATGAAAATATAGATCCTTGCTAGATTAGATAATCGTTATATTTATTTTTTGTATGTTTATATTTGATTTGTAACCTGTAGTCGATATTAATTTTGTCAAATTTACTTAATTACACAGCGGCCCTTTCAGTAAATGCCCTTCAGTTTTTTTGTTTCCCCCGCCCCATCTCTCCCCCTCCCCCTTTTCTTTTCTTTTCCTCTCCCCCCTCTTCTTCTGATCTTTAAGATTAGATCGTCTCTTGTGTGTGTATGTCACCACAAAATGTATCCTTTGCCGGTTAGATCGTTAATGTATTAGACATACGACAACATTCATATTTCTCTCTCTTAAACCGTCTTCAACTCACCTCTCTAAAACTTCCCTCTGTTAAGTTTTAATCTCCCTCTTTCTCTCGTCTGTTACCCCTCTCTTTAGCTCTAACATTCGTCCCACACTCTCATACTTACTCTCTCTAAATTCTATTTTATTTCGGAGTTATTTTTTTCTGTTTTTTTTTTGAATTTGTCTACGATTCAATGGAATAAATTATGACCATGGGATATTAGTGTTTAAGCCTTTTTATTATATAAATATATATATATATATATATATATATATATATATATATATATATATATATATATATAAACTTGGTAGCAATACTAACACAAATGCATCTGCTTTAAAAAGACCTCAATGGCCGCCCACGTGATATGCTATTCAAAAATCTATTCAAAAGAGTATTTGGAAATTTTAAACAGAAAACACCCACCTTTATTTTTTCTTTTTCTTTTTTTGGACCGAATTGTTTTAATTTTGATTCTCCTGTACTCTTATGAGACCTGGGTACTCTACCGAAGGAACATCTGCAAATTTGAAAGATTCCATCAAATGAAACTTCGTTGGAACATATGGCAGGACTTTGTCACGAACAATGAAATTCCCTTTCCGCGCAAAGATGGAGAACCGAGAAATCATCATTACTCGCTATCGACTTCAGGGGGTCGGGGGCCGGACACTTTGCCTGAATGACAGGCATCAGCCGACCGAAACAAATCCTCTTATCAAAGTTCGCATCTGGGAAGAGACCTCGTGGAGCCGCACATCATGGATTCAAGGATCAGCTCAAAAACACTTTGGTGAGGAGAGGAGTAGATGATTTGAGAAACGGAAGCTGCAGAAAGAACCAATGGGAGTACACGAAAAAGGAACATCCTTCGAAAAAATCAGAAACAAACAGAAGAAATGAAGTGTCCCCCCCCTCACAGCACAACCCGCTAAAAAAAAAAGGAGCAGTCCATCCCCTGAACCGTCTTACCCTGCCATGTGGTATCTGCCGATGCCGCTTTAGATCCAACATTGAACTCATTACATACATAAGGAAAATATAGATGAGCGCTCCAATACCCAGAAACGAGTCCCGACAGTGGCGGCAATATATATATATATATATATATATATATATATATATATATGTCTGCGTGCAATCTGTGGAGTTAAGCTTCAAGATAGGGTATCTAACGTAGACCTGTTTAACATGTGTAATATTGGAGGAATCGAATTTTTTCTCATACAGTCTCAGTTACGGTGGACTGGTCATGTCTTGAGAATGTCTGATGACAGGTTACCCAAGATCCTAATGTACAGCCAATTAGATCAGGGCTACAGGAATGTAGGACGCCCATGGCTAAGATATAAAGACAAGCTGAAAAGCAACTTGTCAGCAGTCAATATACCACATAACACCCTTGAGCGCTTAGCCTTGGAGCGGTTAGAATGCAGATCAAAGATTTTACTGGACTCAGCAATTTTCAATCTGCTTGACTGAATCATATTCAAGAAGCGAGAGGAAGATCTAAAAGGTCAGCCAATCTAACTGATCTCATTTCAAAATCCTCACACTTGCTCCATATGTGGCCTCCTTTGTAATTCACTAGCGGGTCTTACGATTATCGCACAAACTTTCATAACTGAATTAATAAGCTGTCATATCCTCATACGTCGAAAACCGACAGGAACGTCCATTATATATATATATATATATATATATATATATATATATATATATATATATATATATATATAAATATATATATATATATATATATATATATATATATATATTTAATGTAACCTTTTACATCCATGTATACATCCAACACTTTTATCAATAATCAAATTTATTACTAAAACAATGAATCAGTGTAAATGAGTTCCTAATGAATACAAAACAGAAAAAAAACATGAGACAAAAAACGAAGAAAATTCCCCTTCTCCCTGCACAACGTCCGTCTATGAAGCTTGAAGCATCATTGTAGCTGAAAGTTTAACAGCACATAAAATCATATGATGGTTCCAATTAAGGGTTACAGGTTCGATTCCTGTCGGAGAGGCAAATATTTTCTAAGACATTTCCCGAACATTCAGGCGCTTTAAATGACGCGGTAAATGTAATTAATAGTCTTTCATTAAAAACGCAGAGAATTTACTCAAATAAATTATATCTATATAAATAACGTCTAAACGGAAAATATATTAAAAATAATTGTCGGACTCAATCCATTTCATAATATCTATCTATCTATCTATCTATATATATATATATCTATATATATATATATATATATATATATATATATATATATATATATATATATATATAAACATAAAACATTAGGCAGCTTATAATTTACATACAAAGAAATAATCACATAGAATCAATCAGAAGTATTAATGCGATTATTGGCGACATCCATCGCTAGAAACATAATATATGCATTAAAATACTGTTAATCCATAGTGCGAAGTGATCCTCGTCGATAAACTTGATGTCTGTAGTTTTCTGTTTATTTGATGTTAAAATGCTAGTACTTACGAATAGTCCTCTATTCATCATCAGGCATGTGTTTTTTCCTTATAAAATCAAAACTATATATATATATATATATATATATATATATATATAAACTATATATATATATATATATATATATATATATATATATATATATATATATATATATATATATATTTATAACACTTTTGTAACATTCTGCCGTCAATGATTGTTGTGATGTCTTCCCTCTAATGAGGCTATTGTGGACTCTTCCACTTACTATGAAGCTAGTAGGAAAAGTAAGCCACGGAGGAACAGTGATATAAACTGAACGCTGGTCAACCGACACACACTCCCAAGTCGAGTAACACATTTCTGTTGTATTTACTGTTCAATACACTATTTATCTGCAAACTCTTGTTATTTCTTAACCAATTACTTGGTCACAACAATGATTTAGCCGAACTTTCCCCCGTTACGTACTCGAATCTTAAATTTGTTTAATTAAGACTGATACGATATTAAAATTCGATATTAAAATACTAACCCATTTTATTATCGTTTAAAAACCGTAAATGTTTAACATACCGAGACCTTAGCAGCACCCTGAACGCTCCGTGAAAATATTCGGATGGGCAACCTGGGTTGTCAATCAAATGAAGTCTAATCGCTGACTCACAGATTGACTGAATATGTAGGCAGGCACGTGATGTCGACTTCGGGTTTCCAACTGCAAGTTGGTTCGCCCTATATAGTCAGCCTCACGCCGATATTTGATTTGAATCATGGAATTATTTTGCAAGTAGATAGGTTAAAGCATACGAAACACAAGTTAACAGATTAAAAGTAAGAAGTCACACACGGCGATACCTTAATTAGTTTTAATGACAAGATTTTCATTGTTCTTGTTCCAACGAATCCTTCTGAATCCTTCTGAAGAAACGTTCCTGTATTTCAGGCGGCCTGACGATTGCATCTAGCATGAAACAGATTGTCGCCTCTAAGTGTTGACTTCTATATTCACTGTTATATATATATATATATATATATATATATGTGTGTGTGTGTGTGTGTGTGTGTGTGTGTGTGTGTGTGAAGAAAAATTTGGAAAAAACAAACAAAAATCCTTAAATGCAATTATGTTGTTTAAAATGAATGAATGCATTTAAGGATTTTTGTTTGTTTTTTCCAAATTTTTCTTCATTCTGTGGATCTATATCCATTTACATTTGCTTACATATATATATATATATATGTGTGTGTGTGTGTGTGTGTGTGTGTGTGTGTGTGTGTGTGTGTGTTTGTATTTATTTGTATCACCCTGTCGTCAATGATTTCGGGGAACTTTCCTCCAGTATGTACTCGAATCTTAAATTTTAAAACTATGTTTAATTAAGATTGATTCGATATTAAAATTCTAACACATTTTACTATGATATACTTGTAATATTTACCCGGCCCACTAACCAAAGATTGGCTGTGACACAAGGCCGTTTTAAAGTGGGGATTGCCATAGACATCCTTATGCATATGGGACAAGGGCAAAAATCTATTCTTGCGCGGACCTCGCGACTAGTTTCTCTCTGACATCGGTAAATACACCGACCCTTTAGTGGGACGACGAAAGTTAGAATCCCCGGGGTGAAGCAGCTTCTCTCATCTAAAATGAGGTTAATCATAGCCCCAGTTACCGCACAGTCGACGTTACCCACACCTCAGTAAACACTCATTGGTTAATCTTTAACTCGTCTGCCAGGTATTAGCTTGTGGAGAAAGTCGTCCCGTAGCACTTGAAGACAAGGAAGGATTATATAGATCTTTAATCTTAAATGATTTAAATATTTAATCCGGATAGTGTTTCGTCTCATTATCGATAGCATAATCCCATTACCTAGGCAAATTTTTGATTCCACGGGAGTGAAATTCTTCAGGTTTCGATACAAAGAGACGTTTCGTGTCGGTTTGAAATGTTTCGTGATTAATAAACTGTAGGATGATCTGAAAAAGAAATTGACTCAGATGGAGGCGAATATATTCTAAATATATTTCCATCGTTTGTTTTATTTAACTTTTTAAAATTATCTAAACCCTCAAATGATATCATTTATCAGTGTTAAATATGTGAATAAGTTATCGCTGTCGCAAGAGAGGAAACTCGTACTGAGTCTAAAAACCGCACAGGACAATTGGTACGCTATTCTTTATATAGAAGCATAAAAATTCTCTACTTATTCAGTTTGTCCCAGGGATGTTCTTTTTCAAATACAGCTCAGTTTCGATTTAGTTTTTATGTACATCCTCTTTTTTTCTATACATTACTAATTTTCTTCTACATTTTTGCTGTCAAATATTTTATTTCTTTTCATTTTATATATTTATATATATATATATATATATATATATATATATATATATATATATATATGTGTGTGTGTGTGTGTCCGTGTGTGTCCGGAACCGTCACATAGCCACACGTGCTTTTACCAATTTCACTACAGAGGAGCGTTTTCGGTTAAAAAGGTCGATTTTACTGTTTTTAAACTACAATTTTCCTTGATTTTCTCACGTACATTCATATCTGCTCGATGCGTATCCAAATGTAAAAAAAAATGACGGTTCCGTATATGATACAGGTTCGATTCCTGTCGGAAGACGCATATTTTCTACGACAATTTCTCGGACATTCAGGCATGTAAATGGTGTTAATATTGTTTATTATAAACAGAACATTTACTTAAATATTTGTATCTATGAAAAAGAATGCATAAACATAAAAATGTCTTCATATATATATATATATATATATATATATATATATACGAATGTAATAATAAAAAAATAATATATACATTCTGACGTTCGCAGCATTAATTCAAAAGAGGCTTTCAATACTGATATATGGACAAAAACTATTTTCTTTTTAACCTGAGAAAGCCAAAGAGAATATACGCTCTCCAGCGTAACGCGTCGTTAGTAAAATTTACCACTTTCTCTCATCACCGGCACGTTTGTTTCGGACAACATTATACATCCTAAAAATACACAAACACAGATATGGCGAAAGATATTTCTAAAGCATGCTGTGAGATAAATTGTTCCAATTCATCACAAAAACAATTTTTTACTGCGTCATTTCAAAATCGAAAACTGAAACGAATAAATAAAAAGAAATAAAAGAAAAATAAATGAGCAAAAACAAGTAAAATAAATTAATCTAAATAAATTAAATATTAACCTCTGAACCTTATATATAAATAGTCGAGAAAAAACAAAACTCAGTTTTCCAGATTAAGTTTAAGCAAGCTCAAGATGTCGAACTCTCGGATTTAGGGCAACTGCAGACCAACATACAGTATTTACTACTGTATTTTTTTGTTTTTGAATGGGAACATATCTAATATTGTCTGTAGGCATGCTACAACATATCTATATATATATTTATATTTATATATGCATGCATGTATGCAACATATATATATATGCATGTATGCATATGCTCGATGCTTATTAGAAAGCGATCAATATCATTGATAGAGCTAACATATGAGTTTGTATCCAAGGGTTACAGACTAATATCCATATGACTGAATATATATATATATATATATATATATATATATATATATTCAGTCGTATGGATATTAGCCTGTAACTTATTATATATATATATATATATATATATATATATATATATATATATATATATATACAGTCGTATGGATATTAGTCTGTAACCTGGGTTACAAACTGTTATGGGACTTTACCCATAATAACATAATGGACTATTCCATACGTAATAAATACTGCGCTTCAAGAGGAACCCGAACGAGGCTACGCCGAAGGCCGGGGTCTCTTTCGGGAACGTAAACCGACCCTGGACCCGTTTATACGGGTTTAAAGGGCATATTTTTGGCCGAGCCCACAGGCACGGAGATCTCACGTTAAACCAGCCTTGTACCACATGGTGGGGTGACTAAATACCGTTCAGTCTGAAGTCTGGAGTGAGGTCCGTCAGGAGTCTGTCAGTCAGTCAGAGCGATGGAGTCAATCAGTCGAGTCATAGGCAGTCCGAAACAGTGTCACGTTCAGACAATTACTACAAGACATTGGAATAGTGATACTGATCGAGAAACATTGTTCTCTCTACTAAACCTGATTGTTCGTACTAACACTTTCTACTTCTCTGTATATATTCCTGTTTGTAATATATCTGTGTTATTCCATATCCGTGTTCGAGTTCTTCTTTATTGGTTCTACCTTGGACTATCACCGTGGTACAAGTAACCGGACCATAACACAAACTAATATCCATACGACTGATATATATATATATATATATATATATATATATATATATATATATATATGTGTGTGTGTGTGTGTGTGTGTGTGTGTGTGTGTGTGAGTGTGTGATTTTATTTTGTCATATTCTCATTTATTTCTGAGTTCTTTCCATCGTTTATGTTGATACTGTCGCTCACCCGACACCTGAAGCCTTTTGTATTATTCTCTTTCTTTTCTGTCACTGTCACCAAACTCCTCCCCCGAGCTTGAGACATAATCACAGGCACCGCCATCATTTCACACTTGTCTTCGACCCACCGTTTTCCTACCTTCCAGTGTTTAATGCTTCCTGATTTGTGCGTTCAATTATTTTATCTGCAAGATTCTCAATTGATTTTAGTGAAATTAATCATACGCACCTGTTCCAATCAATATATTTAATCAATCGATATGGGCTACTGTGTTTCTAGGTCTTTACGTGTGGGTGTCAGAGTGTGTCTGCATGTGAGATTTTGTATCGACATTTTTTGTTGCGAATAAATGTAAACACAACGTTACAATATATATATATATATATATATATATATATATATATATATATATATATATATATATATATTATAACTGGTATTTCGCTACACTGTAATAACCATGTCTCAAAATGGAAGCTAAAGACTTTAAATTTAATTTTGTAATTAAATTAAAACATTAGTTCCATTTCATCCTCGAGCGAATTTTGGAGTAACTTATTTATTTTTTTTTTTATAAATTTACTGTGTTTTAACTGCAAAGGAAATTCATAATTTATGGTTACCAAGGATACAGAGAAACCCGATTATCCAGCTTACTGTCCTTTCTTTTTTATTTAAATATACATACATACATACATACATACATATATATATATATATATATATATATATATATATATATATATATATATATGAATATGGTCAAAGATATTTTTTTCCTTTTGACCTTATTCATATATATATATATATATATATATATATATGAATAAGGTCAAAAGGAAAAATTATCTTTGTCGATATGCTTCATCCAGTGATGGACGTTATCAAGGCAAATAACTTGTTCATGTAGATCCTAGGACGAAACGCTTTGATAAGATAATATTTCTTTTGTCTTCATTTGTAATGTCGTTTTACTGTTATATTTTAGATATATCTGAATTTTTAAATACATACCGACGCACACACATAATTATGATGGACTCTGCCGTCGTTTTTAACGTATGAGTATCTTTCAATTCAGTTTTAATGTTTATGTTTCGTATGAGACAAAAATCCTGCACAGGATTTGCAAACAAATCCACACGAAGGACATACTGAAGGACTTACTGTCATATAGGCTGATGTATTAACCCGAGATTTAAGGCTAATTCTTAATTCTCTCAGATGGTTGAGATGATTCTTCTCAAAGTTAATTATACCTCGGTAGCGGGTATTTCGCCAGTTTGCACGGTTTTCAACAGCAAGTTCGAATCCCTCCATAGGAGCAATTAAATTGTATTTAAGTTTATCCTTGAAGCGTAACCAAGGACGGCCTACGTTACGCTTACTATGAAAAAGTTGGCTATATACGATCATCACTCATTCTGATGACATGACCAGCCCATCTGAACTGTGATTGCATCAGAAAGGATTCAATACCACTGACGCCATATTTGATGAAAAGATAAGAGAGAGATTGTGTCCCGCTGTGTATAAACGCATATTGAACGAAAATAGCGTTTAAGAAAAGCATCAAGTTGATTGAAATGTGTCTTATATGTCGTCCATGATTCTGAGCCATAAAGAACAATGTCTACTCGATGGATACTGATTTTCTTTTTTAGTAAAATCCCATGGACATCCCATAGTTGAAGCTTAAGGTTCCAAAAGGCATTGGTTGCCTTTGATATTCAGTTAACTATTTCCTCATCCAAAGAGGCACTTGAATTGACTTTACTTCCTAAGTACGAGAATGATTTCACATATTTCAAGTTATTGCTGCCAACAGTAAAGGGAACGATTGGCCGGTTTTTGTTTTACACCCTTGACCTGCTTAGGTATAGGCCTTGGTTGATGGACAACTTCAGTTATCTTTATGCTTATAGTTAATCTGAATGGGTTGCAAGCTATGGAAAAACGATTGATGAGTGTTTGAGCTTCTTCGATTGAGGTGGCCACGATCACAGCGTCATCAGCAAAGAGAAAAATCACTAATAATGCTTGCTCGAGTCATTGATTTTGATTTAAAACGTTGATGGTTAAAGAGGTCGCCATTTGTGAGGAATTCAAATTTCACACCATGTCAAGGTCACTAAAGCGTGGTGCAGCATGACTGAAAAGAAGAGAGCGGAAACGGAGCCAAGACACAACCTTGTTTTGCTGTCATTTGTTACGTCAAAGGTTTCTGAAAGCTCTCCTTTAGAGAGAACAGATTGTTTCATTCCTTTGTGAAACGAGATGATGACATTTAGCATAATTTCAGGTATGCCAAGCTTTTTGAGTACTTTCCAGAGGGCATCCATGTTTACAGTGTCAAACTCTTTGGTCAAACGGTAGAGAGTTCATAGTTCTCACGAACTTTCTCAGCAACCTGACGAAGTGAGAAAATCCTATCAATGGTTGCACGACCTAAACAATAACCACACTGAGATTTGGAATAGATGTCATCCGTGAGATATTTGATTATTTAGTTAAGAATAACACAAGCGACAATTTTGCCAGTGATACTTACAAGCGCAATGCCACAGGAATTATCATATAAAATACTTTTTGCCTTTGTTCTTGAACAGATGTTTTACGCAAGCAAATTTGTTATACTGTGGAACAGAACCAAGAACCAAGATTTTAATATCTCAAGGAGTTTCCTAACCATCGTTTTCCCTCCATATTTAAAAAATATCAGGGGGAGGGGGAATAGCATAATTTACAAGAGGTTTGTTCGAGGACAATTGCTTGATAGAATCCTGAATTTCCTTGAATCATGGCTCAAGAGACAGCTGGGAAATTTATAGTTACTGAGGAATTGAAACAATGACGTTGCTATTTAATTCTTTCCTTATCATATAAAATATAAGCTGCAAACACACACACACATATATATATATATATATATATATATATATATATATATATATATATTTTGTGTGTGTATGTCTGTGCAGTGTGCGATGGGTAAATTGTCGCTATTCTATATTTTTATTTTGAAAAAGGGAGGTTGATAAATTTTTATAAAAGTATATATATATATATATATATATATATATATATACATATATTTATAAATAAATAAAATATATATATATATATATATATATATACTTTCATTATATTTATTTATAAATATATATATATATTTATATATATATAAAGCAGTTTATACAAATAGTTAAATAGCAATGTTAATGCACACTCTAAAACATTTACGATATCAGATCCGCAGGGCAGTAATAATCTGAAATTCTGTGGAAAACTATTAAAACATTTTAACTCTAATAATTGGATTATATTTAAGTCTATTTCACTTTAACAGGCAAATACATATAACAAAAAATTTCGTGGATTTATAACTTTTCAAACTTCAAACAAAATTCTCACTTGATCGATTCCAATAAGAAATCTAGTGGCGCGGCATTATATTCAACTATAAATAAATAGCATAGTTTAAAAAAAAAACAATTTTCGATCTGCACATAATTCGTCTTAGCGTTTGCTTATGTATGGAAAATTGCGCCTTGAAGATGACAATTTGAATATTGTCGAAAGTACTTGTCTTCCATCTGACAACAACTTGAATATATGGATCATATTATTCAATGAGAGTAAGTTAATGCCTCATTAAGTCCTGTTAGCGAAGTGATTTCAGCATTAATGGCATTAGCTATTTAATTTCTTTTTCTTTATGATGTAAAATATATGCTGCACACTTTAATATATGTATGCCTCTCTTTATATATATATATATATATATATATACACGAAACATATTTTCATGAATGTCTTTTCCAACATTCAGTAACTTATAACACTGTCAGTATTACATACCCAAATTTAACACGCACGCGCGCACACACACACACACATATATATCTATATGTGTGAAAAGTGTATATAAATATAAATAAATATATATATGTATAATTATTTATATATTATATGCAATGGTACTTATTAGAAAGCGCTCAATATCAGAGATAGAGATAACATATTATATTATATATATATATATATATATATATATATATATATATATATATATATATATATATATATATATATGATTACTATAGTAAACATGTTGATATGTAGATAGATATTATAAATAAATTTATGTATGTAAACCTTCGTATATCTATGAAAATGTGTGTATATATATATATATATATATATATATATTTTTATATATATATATATATATATATATATATATATATATATATATTATATGTGGTTATGTGATGTAATTGATGTGTATTATATTTAAAATCTATTTATTACATTTGTATTTGTATTACGTTTATATTTTAATATTTGCAGGAATGTAAGTTTGCGTATATGTATATTTATATATGTCTTTATACTATTATTATAGTATAATATAATTTCTTTAATTTTTAACTCAAACCTCCAACCCTAAATAAAGTGTATTCTCTACTATCATTACTCTATGTTATTTTTATATAGCGTACCGACGAATAATTATGGGTATGTCCCAATCCTCATAAATACTTTGAACACTATTGTACGTGGGAGTCTATGTAGTCCACCACTAGCAGTGGTTTACCTACTTTACGCCGCTGGCGAGTATTGTATTTTGTTGATGTTATAAAGATTATCATTTCATTTCCAAACTCCGTTTTGGTTATTCCTCATTCAGTAACCTTTTCTAGGTTACAATACTATCTATCTAATTTATTTATCTATTCCAATTTTTACATATCTATCTATCTATCAAGCTAGCTAGCTGTTATATATTATATCTATGAACACTAGTGTTTATGTCCCAAATCTCATAAATACGTTGGACACTATTGTAAGTAGGGGTAATATGCCGTATAAGTATTCCACCATTATCAGTGGTTTACCTACTTCACGCCGCTGGCGAGTATTGTATTTTGTTGATGTTATAAAGATTACCATTTCATTTCCAACCTCCGTTTTGGTTATTCCTCATACAGTAACCTTTTCTAGCTTACAACCCTATCTATCTATCTATCTATCTATCTATCTATCTATCTATCTATCTATCTATCTATCTATCATTCTTTCTTTCTTTCTTTCTTTCTATCTATCTGTCTATATATGAACACTAATGTGTATATTCCAATCCTCATAAATACGTTGGACTGATGTGGGGCGTAAGTCGGGACCACAGAAGGAAAACACGGAATATAGATTAGATGTAAGAAAGATATATTAACAACAGGTTACAGAGATAGGATAAGCGGAGCTTACTATATGTTAGTGTCCAATACTGGTAGTTTTACGCGGCTCTCACTGTCTCTATCTCTCTGTCTAGAGTGTTGTGTCGCATACTTAATATAGACCTGGAAGAGACTATTGTGTAGGTAGTTCCGGTCTCACAATATGGACACTATTGTAAGTAGGGGTAATATGCTGTCTAAGTAGTCCACCACTAGCAGTGGTTTACCAACTTCACGCCGCTGGCGAGTATTGTATTTTGTTGATGTTATAAAGATTATCATTTCATTTCCAATCTCCGTTTTGGTTATTCCTCATTCAGTAATCTTTTCTAGGTTACAACCCTATCTATCTATCTATCTATCTATCTATCTATCTATCTATCTATCTATCTATCTATCTATCTTTTTATTATATACCGTACCCATGGACATTTATGGGTATGTCCCAATCCTCATAAATACGTTGGACACTATAGAAAATGCGGGTAATATATTAAGTAGTCCATCACTAGCAGTGGTTTACGTTGTTCACTCCGCTGGCGAGTATTGCATTTTTTGATGTTATATAGATTACAATTTTATTTCCAACCTCCGTTTTGGTTATTCCTCGTACAGTAACACTTTCAGGTTACAACAGGTATAAATATCGATAATTAAAGTATTCAATTATCACTTTTCAGCCATCACCCGACGATAGAGTTTATAAATATATATATATATATATATATATATATATATATATATATATATATATATATATATATATATATATATATATATATATATATATATATCTTAAGGTGTGCTATATTTATGGGATAAAGTGCTCAATATCAGAGATAGAGCGTGTGTAAATATAAAAGTGAACATAGAAGTCAACACTTAGAGGCGAGAGTCTGTTTCATGCTATATGCAATCGTCAGGCCACATATGCTGCTATTTTCTCGGCTATTTATATATATACGGGTTAGTGGTGCATTGTGGGTATTCTATTATGGCGGTTATTTATATCTCTAGGTTACAACACATTCGTATCTAACTCTCTATGTATCTACATAAATACGGAATTTTATTGAAATATATATGTATAAATACATACCTGTGTGCGGGGGGGGGCTATTCGAATATATACTGTGCTGTTCGATAAAAGTGACTCACCTGATTTTTTTTACCTAAAAATGTTTCGCCTATTTTTTGGGGGGTCAGCTAATTTTTAATCTTAGTAATATAAAGACCCTTTCCCGACCATCTAATAAAAAGGTTTATTCACCCTAATGTATTCTATTGATAATTATAATTTGGGATATAAATGAGATTTAGGGAAAAAAACTCTGTGCAAAAAAAAAGTGACTCACTTATTTCCTGCAACTAGTAATCAATAGAAACATAACCGAACAGCTTTAAATAAAGAATAATAGAGGTATAATTTATTTATAATGGGTAATATAGTTCGAAATATTTAATAATCTATGGGTCCTCCTTTATTTTGAATAACCTTTTCAACACTCTTTGGCATTGGCTTGATTAGGTTCTGGCAAATCTCATCTCCAAACATTAAATTCCATTCGGATATGAAATTCGCAATCAAATCCTCTTTGTTGCGCAACTGCTTTCTCGAGAGCCTGTACTTTATAATGCTCCATAAGTTTTCTATGGGGTTGAGGTCAGGAGATTGGGGCGGCCATGTCATAACACTCACCTGCTTCTCATCAAAGTATTCCTTCATCAATTTTGATTTGTGACAGGGAGCATTATCCTGCATAAAAATGAGCTTGGTGGGGTCGATTTGCACCCTTTCAGCAGAAGGGAGCAGACAAGACTCTAAAATTCTCTTGTACTGCTCGCTGCTGAGGGTCTTTTCAATAGGTTTTAAGAAACCAGTTTCATGAAAAGAAAAGCCTCCCCAGAACATTATACTGAACGGATGCTTGACAGTACTTACTGCTGAATTCAAAGAGCTTTCAAAGCTTCTTCGGATTTTAGATCGCTTATCCTTTAAATTTAGCTCAACTTTCGTTTCATCGGAGAAGAGAACATTTAGTAAAAAAACACATCAGGTGAGACAATTTTATCGAACAGCACTGTATATGGTTTAGAATTATTTACGCTCTTTTGTATTTATCCACGTCAACCAAAGGCCCGGTCCATATGAATAATATACCGATTGAATCTAACAGAACATTTAAGAATTTATACTACTTTAAAAGCAGTAGCCTACACAGATATAATGATTCCGTTTAATTCAAACTTGAGATTCTCATAATATTTTAAACCGGAGTTCATAATCCGTAAAAGATTAATTCATTCTTTTCTTCTCTTTGAAGCGTTTTCCCTCTGTTTTTAAATAAGTATTTTTAATCTCAAAGAATCATGACCTATCTTCGAGCAATAATTCACAAGACAGCAGCTGAGAGATCCATGAATGCATTCAATTTTTATGGTGTTATTTTATGGTTATGTATTGAAAAAAAAAAGGAAAGTGCCTGTCCAAATGCAACAGGATTTCGCTTCAACCAAATAAAACAGATTTTTTTTTCTATATTTCATTGTCTAATCTCAGAGTCAGGATATGATTAGATGTTGGAAAGAAAATCATATCGCGATTTAAGATGGAAACGAAACAAATTATTCTTTGATCTTAAATATTATATTTAAATCCATTTTATGATTCTGTCTCTTTATTGATATCACAATCCCATCAGATTCGGCCAATTGTTAATGTCAAGGGCGTGGAATTCTTCAGCTTACGATTTAAAAAGATACGTTGTATCAGTTTCACCATCTTCGCAAACAAACGTAAAAATTAATGGCTATTTTTTCCGTAAGTATTGAAAAAAATACAGTCACAATGATAATGTCGAAATGAAACAGGAATTTCTTTTCCACCTAGGACAACAAAAATGAAGAAACTCTAAATTTGAAGGCATTATAAATAAATTGATTTTCGGAATAATTTAATTTGAAGTAAAACTGTTGAAGAAATAAAACAATTTTTCCCGCACTTCTGTATAAATCCCGTTTTATGTATCTAAGATATGGAGTGAACCCTAAGTATCTCGAATAACTTTTTATTACACACACACACACACACGCACACACACACACACACACACACATACACACACAAATATATATATATATATATATATATATATATATTAAAATGATTTTCAAACTTAATCCATTTCATAATATGTTACGATTATTTACGTCAAGATGTATGTCGGTAGCAGATATGATCGATTAAGAAAAATAGTCGAAGACTGTATGTTTATAAACAGTAATTTGGACTTTGCTAAGCAGACTCTTCTTTGTGGTTGAATGGACAAGACCACATCAGATTAAATGATGGTTCCATTTCAGGGTTACAGGTTCGATTCCTGTCGGAGAAGCTCATATTTTCCACGACATTTCTCGAACATTCAGGTAAATGTAATTAATACTGCTTAATTAAAAAACAGACCATTTACTTAAATTATATCTATAAAAATAACGGATAAACGGAAAATATATTAAAACTAATTCTCGGAATTAATCTGTTTGATAATATATATATATATATATATATATATATATATATATATATATATATATATATATATATATATGTGTGTGTGTGTGTATACATATTTAAAAGACAATAGGAAAACTGTAATATTAGCCGACGAGTTTCGTCCAATGTGAACTTTTTCAAGGCAAAAACGAAATGAATTTATTAAAACAAAGTAACTCTTAATAAAACGAATGGATAAATTTAGACATTAGCTAAGGACATTTGCCTTGAAAAAGTCCACATTGGACGAAACACTTCGGCTAATATTACAGTTTTCCTATTGTCTTTTACATTTTTAAATATTGTCTTTTTCTATAGGTTAAGTGAGAAATTTTTTATGTATATATATACATATATATATTATAAATTAATTGATTTAAAATATGTTTTTTTCGCTACATAGTTCTAACCATGTTTCAAAAATGGAAGCTAAAAGCCCCGAATTTAATTTTGTGATTAAATTAAAGACATTAGTTCCATTTCGAATTTTGGAGTAAATTTTAAAATTACTGGGTTTTAAATACACAGCTAAAACAAAATTCATGATTCCAAGGCTACAGATAAATCTATTTTTCTAGACAGGGGTGTCTGGGTGTTCAATATGTCTATATTTTAATGTATCAGTTACATTGAGCACTATTTTGTAAAAATAAAAATAAAAGTATCTATAAGAACACCGGATTATATATCTTAATTGTTCTTTCTTTTATATATATATATATATATATATATATATATATATATATATATATATATATATATATATGTATGCATGTGATAAGTTAAAGAACAAATAGGAAGCGTTTATCAATCTAACATGGTATATCTGTTTAATTTTAATTGTATTTTTCCAGTTTACGGATAAAGTGTTAAATATTGTGCTGGAAGTTGTCGATAAACTGTCCAAAGTTCATATTTTTGTTGAAGTACATTCGACTTTCCCAGTCATTACCAAATTCCGATGTGGTGTCTATGTTTTTGTTATTTTCTCTTCATCCTGACATAAACACACACACACACACACACACACACACACACACACACACACACACACACACACACACACACACACACACAGACACACAGACACACGCACACACACATATATATATAATTATTTTTTTTATAATTTATAACATAAATATGTTATAAAATCACTACAAAAATAACCATTTTGTTTCAACACCGTCGGTGTCTTATCAAGTGATGATGTTGAATGTAAAATAAATGGTTTTAAAAGTTTCGAATTAATTAACAATCCTTCACAAGGGGAAACCGTTGTTACAAAAGCTAGATGGACCAATCAAAATACAAGTATAGGAAAATTCAAAAAGCTTGACAACGAAGTCACGTTATAATAGCTATTCAGATCTTTAAAATACGGGTAATTTAAAAAAAAAGAATTTATTCTAACCAATAATTATTAAATTATATGATAAAATTTGTTATTAAAATTAAAAACTGCCGATTTTAAAATCCAAATTTAATCACTATTAAGTTTAAAATTAAGTTTAAAAATTATAAAATTACTGAGGAGAAAAGAAGAAATACATTTTCGGTCGGTAATTTAATCAGTTCCGCGGTTGAGCCAGGATCCGTCGCCCGGGACGCAGAGATGAAAAAAATAGTTAAATATTCTTCTCTTGCTGATAGATTTTTTTTTACTCCTGTGGCAGTGGAGATTTCAGGGGTTATTGGCCCTCGTTCGATGGCGTTCCTTCGGAGGATTGGCGCGATTGCGTCTCGATTAAGGGAGGAGCCTCGCTAAACGGAGTGGCTCTTGCAGCGTGTCTTACTGGCGATGGTTCGAGGTAATGCTTTCTCCATCATTGCGGCTGGCAGAGGTTAGAAAAAATTGTTTATAGTTACGTTGTTCTGGAATTGT